CCCGTGATTTGGAGGTAGGAGTTTAAAAATGTGATGTAACATTTCTCAAATAAAAATGAAAAGAAACCTTTCGTTTTGCTGAAGAATAAAGTTACATTTAAGGTGATTTTGGAAGTGATTGAATTGTCAATTTAAAAAAAAAAAAAACCAGGTGTTGGTTGCTGTGGTGTCGGTGGTCGAGAGGAAGTTGTGGGTTTTATGGGTTTTGTGGGTTTTATGGGTTTTATGGGTTTTATGGGTTTTATGGGTTTCGACGTCCCTCGCACGATTCATGAGTTGTTCATATACAGAGTTTCTCTCAGGCATCTCTGCTCCCCCCCCCCCGAAAGAAACATTGTTCACACATGAAAGTCTCACTCAATAAATCCTGTCATCACTAGAATAACGATTGGCACCAACGAACGTGTGTTATGGACTGCATTATGTGAAACACATTTGTGTAGGGGGAGAAAGGTGGGGGGAGTCTGTGGACATTGTTCTGGTTCTAGAACTTTGACCTAGATACGGACCTGGTACCTGTAAACACAACAAAAAAAGCTCCTGGAATTGTGGAATTGGCACACCGTCTGTCACAAGAATGTGCACCCGAGATCCCGCCATAAGCAGCGGTAATCGAGTTGGTCTAAATTTAGAACCGGAAGTCAGTCATATTTATTTGATAGTGTGCATTTTCTCGTTGGCTTTGTTACTAAAACGTATTAACTTGAATCAAAATGTTTCCAAGTTACCTTAATTGTTTTTAGCGCAATTTCCATACTGGCAATTGCGATTATTAACTCGGAATTCCTTCCTGGATTTCCCGGAAAAGCCAAAAAACCTCGAAAAAAATTCAGTTTTTGGCCCATATCTCGGCAACCAGACCACTTAGCGACTAGAAGCATTTACCAATCGATTCCTGTCATAATTTAGAACAATATTGCCGAAGAAAGTTTTCAAAACTATCCTTTCGTTCGGTCACAAACAATTAATTAAGGAAATTGCGCTTAAATTGTCACTAGACTTTTTATTAACTTGTTTTCTTTTTTAGGATTACTGACTTTAATGTACCATTTCAGTTCTCAAGTTTAATAGCTTGATCCCTCCCCGTTTTCAAAATATGAGCGTAGTAGCACATGTTGTTCATAACAAACAAAAATAAGCTTCAAACTACTTCAAAGTATTATTTAAACGATGTCGTGCAACATAAATCTATTACACGTCTGATTTTTGCAGTATGTAAGGACTATGGATGTTTTTCATTTTAATCAAACTTTTTTTTAAAGTACCCAAAGCACGAACCAAGTTGATTTAATATGAGGTGCCCTGATCATGACTGGTTAAAGTGAGGGTTTATTCTCTAACCATAAGTGTGGAGTTAAATGTATGAAATTCGTATTTTTTTTTCTCTACTTGACACCAGCTCAAAATACCAGACATGCACCTATACATACGCACCCATACATATTCTATATATGGACCACTTCTTAGGTTTCAATCTACATACCCTAGCAAAACCTTGATATTGACACTGTCCTCTCTCTTCTCTTCTCTTCCCCCCCCCCCCCCCCCCCAACCAGATTACATGGAACTTACGGTTATATTTACATATCCATAGCAGAATTGTAAAACTTAGCAGAAGATGAAATTAGCCTTAATCTCTAACCATACTTTAATGTTTACCTGAATCAACGAAGTACGGAAGACGGGAGGAATCTAGAAATAAAAAGTTCACAAACTTGGACGTATATTTGAAGGACATCATTAAAAAAAAACTGTTGGCCTTGACCCCTATAGCGCCAGCCTCTCAATGAATCAATCTCGCCGTCTCACCCAGGCTTGTGGGACGCGGACGTCTGCCGGCTCGCTGCAGACGTGGCCTTGAAGGAAAGCGGTCAATAGGTTGACACCTGTCTGGTCTGTATACACAAGGGCAAGTATGTGTATATGGAGTGGAGGTTATGGTGGTGGTTGGGGTACGGTTGTGGCCCTCTATTATCCGTAGCGGGTTTAGGCTTTAACTCTTCTGTAACTGTTCGAATCTTTGTTCTCTCAACTGAATTAAAACGTTTTATTGTTTCTATATCATTACCAACCCGCTTGCCATCTCCTCTCCCCCACACATCTACGTGCCCCCCCCCCCCCCGAAAATTTCAAGTACCCCCTCCTACCCCCCCCCCCCGGAGCAAAACGTCTGGAGGCAGTAGCGTAGCAAGGGGGGGGGGGGGCGGGTGGGGGGGGGACATATGTCCCCGGTCGCCGACCTTAGGGGGCGCCAAAATGGGTTGGAAAAATAAATTGAATGGTTGAGGGGGATGCAAATCGAAAGTTTGAGGGGGATGCAAATCAAAAGTTTGAGGGGTGGGGGGGGGGGGTGCAAATCGAAACCTTGAGGGGGGTGTGCAAATCGAAATCTTGAGGGGGTGGGTGCAAATCGAAAGTCTGATAGGGGGGATGCAAATCGAAAAGTTTGCCCCCCCCCCCCGGGAAGGGTCGCTACGCCTCTGTCTGGAGGTAACACTGCCAGTGAAAATATTCCAGAGTTCTTAAGATTTACAATGGGCCCTTATTCCCTCTATGGGTTGGTAAAAGCTCATTTGAAGTGTTAAGACTTCCAGGTTTTTTAGTCAAGAGGCCGGTTTTTTTTGTTGTTGTTTTTTTTTAAATGCATAAAAAGTACTAAATCACAGTGATTTAGTATAAAATATTATATACATATATATAAATATACAACCGTGAACTTTACGTGAAGTGAACAAAATTGCTATCGTCTGCTGCTCGCACTGGCGCGTGAATTCAGCCAGCAAACGACAGCCTCGTGTCAGCGTGACATTACGTTTGGCTGGCGATGACCCGCGACCTTTACTGTCGTCAGATTGTCAAATCTGTCAGGTTCTCGCCGAGCATTACCTCCCTTACGTCATTAACCCCGGGGGTGGAGGAAGTGTGGATTGGAGACCACCTACACGACGTTGGGGGGCGAGTCAATGGTTAGTTGCTTTAATGATAAGACGTAGTTTTTTTTTTAAAGAGTTAAAGTCAATTTTGAAGGAAGGATATCTGGGTTTTTTTCGTTGGGGGGGGGGCTGTTTGCAGGTAAGAGACAGGTAGGTTGAACTCAATCGATTATTATCTAGTGACATGGATGACATCATCGTGTTTGGGAGAGAGAGAGGGTAGGGGGAGGGGGGGAGGATACGGGTTGGTAACCGCTTGTCACAGCAACAATTTTTATATTCATAATCGTTTAATTTTAAAACTGCATTTTGTGGATTCGGATACCAAAAGAAATATTAGAGACGCATACAGGATATGTGTGAAAGTGGGATGTGCGGGTGTGTGGGTGGGGGGGGGGTGTAAGCACTTGAGATTCTCAGCCACACACGTCTGGGTTAGTTGACGTGTGTGTATCAATGTGGGTGATCTGCTGCAAGTGTTCTGTTGTGTCGTGACACGTGACACATAACACCACACTGAGCTAATCACGGTTATACTTCAACATAATATCTAGGAAATATCCATATAGGGCAGAGGCGTAGCGACCCTTCCCGGCGCCCTGGGACAAACATTCGATTTGCACCCCCCCCCATCCAGATTTCGATTTACACCCATTCCATCCATCAAGATTTCGATTTGCACCCCCCCCCCCCTCAAATTTTCGATTTGCACCCCCCTCCCCCCGTCAAGCTTTCAATTTATTTTTCCAACCCATTTTGGCGCCCCCTAAGGTCGGCGCCCGGGGACATATGTCCCCCCCCCCTTCGCTACGCCTCTGATGTAGGAACGGCGTGATCGAATGGTAGAGCGTTTGGCTGCTAACCCGAAGGTCTTGGGTTCGGTTCTAGATTCGGAGTTGTGACTGTAGACCGTACCAGCTCTGAAGGGGCCTAGACACGTTAGGGAAAGAAAAGGCGATTGAGCAAAGTGCTGACCGCACTATCCCTTCATATACCGATGAATTTTACTTATGAGATATTACTGAGGAAATTCAAACAAAAATCTGCTTTAACTCCACTCATCATTATCTTTTTTTTCCCGACCACTACGAGGAAATACGTGGTAGATGAAGTAGAGTTCATCTGTTTCCATGATCTTGGCATGTAAAGGGGTACTGTGGTTAGTACTAAGCTTAGGTGTTTTTGATTCTCGAACTCGAGATCTTCTGGTTAGCAGTCATAAGCTTTACCGTCCGACCACGCTGTTCCACAACATTCTACACGACTTAAAATTTCTTCCCATGCATTGAACTTTCCAGATCTTTGTCGTATTTACACTCCCCACCCACAGGATCACATGCCCTAATTGTTGGAAAATTTACAAATAGAAAACCTCCCAGCATGAAATTTCTCAGACTCGATCCGTCTGTTACGGGAACACGTGACCCGGTATCAATGCCAGACTGGTCTACAGGGAGGCCGACGGTCATAAAGAATGTGATTGTCGTGGAAAACAACGCATCCTCCCTTTCTAAAAATAGAAAGCAATTTTAATAACCGGGTGCTGTGTACAAAGTTTGAGATATCCGAGATATGTTGATACACAATGTCGGCTTTGGTTGAGTGCATTTTCTCTTCGGTGCTTCTTTTTTTTTTCTTTTTAATCTTTGCTGTCATCTTTTTGAAGGAATTTTCTTTAGATAATATCAGTTTAAGGAAAATGCAATGCGATTAACCGAATGTTTTGAAGTTATAAAGATGTTGAAGAAATGTGGGTATTTGTGGAAGATACGCGTATTTCAAATTTATTTAGTTTCGGGGTGAAAATTCATATGCTGCTTCAATCTTGCTTTATATTATTTCCAACATCTTCATTGAACTTGATTCTGCTACATCGAATATTTAACAAAATTAACTTGATTATTTTGTTCGTTTTTTTTTTTTACTTTACGAAAAAAAATGTTTAATATATATGCATTTTTTTAGTGTCAAAACGACTAAATAGATTTTTTAATTCGTTTTTTCTTTTTTGTTTTTGTTTCTAAAAATCAATGATGTTTGATTTTTTCTCTAAATTCTACATTCCAGGTTCACATTTAGACGGCGATGACGATATATCTGTAGAGAACATCGACGTCGACGATAGCATCGACGACCAAGCTTGGACGATACCATTTAGCAACTTAGAAAAACAGTTTTTTCCGTCCTCCGAAGCCGGGAATAGTATTCTATCCTCCGACTACCTACCTCTACGTAAAAAACACTCAAGGCGACAGTCGAGACGCCGGCAGCACGGTAAAGACGTTCGGAAATCTTTGTCGCCCGCTGGACTCGATCCCCCGACCCCAGAGAACACAGGCAGCTCGTCCAAGAGATCGAGGCCAAGACAGGACAGGCGGTTCCTCCAGCAGGATCTCCAGCTCAAGCAGATCAACGGCAGCGTAGATAGTGTAGAAGCAGTTCCGTTGGAAGATTCCAGAGATTTTCCGACGATATCACACTCAACAGGCAGCCACGTCGATGACGTCACAATGTCTCAGGACCCAGCCCCAAAGGTAATCTCCGTCGTTTTACGTCAAATCTTGCTAGTGAGAGGTCGAGGTCGAACGATAAAGATACTGACCAACGTTTCCTCTAAGGGGAAACAGTGTAACGCGTATTTTGTGCGTGCGGGGTTGTAAATAACTTATACAAGGGTATGCGTGTTTGACAAAATGGCTGCGCTCATCGTTCAAAACTAGTGCGCTATCGCGCGACCTCGCGGGTTAGAGAAACATAGATATTGACACGTGGTTTGTTTTTGAGTCCACCCATCTCTAACTTTCTGGTGGGTACCTGAGCTCAGGTAAGGAAATTAGAGACAGCTTAGGATTAAACTGACCTCGCTCTTCTTTTCAAATACCGAATTCACAGCCACAGATGGGCTGTGCTCTATTGACCGTTAGGTCAGAAAGTGAAACTATTTAAACAGCCGCGAACAATGTTTTAATAGGTCAAGGAGGCTTACATACTCATGGTTTACTAACATTAAAAAGAGGCTTTTGCAATTTTTCCACGATATGCTAAGAGAATATTTCACTTATGTGGGTATAATGAATGTTATGTATTTCCAGCCGTCTAGTATAAATTAGGGTGTTAATATCTTCCAAATAACTGACTGCTGACGCAGCTAACAAGCAGGACACCTCTGTCAGGTTCTCATGTCAGTCACGGAGAGGGTGACACTATTTGGTTCGGGTGACCTTGTGGCGCGGGGCGAAATGTTTGGTCCGGCGCCTTGGTTGCAGACGTGGATCTACCGAGTTATGCAGACGACCGATATAAAACAAGAGATAATAGCGCGTGAAGTAGGGACATGCTCATGACAATCTCTGTCTAAAGGATAATCTCTGTCTAAAGGATAATCTCTGTCATAAACTCTGCTGGTGTAAAGTGGACTAGTAGATTGGGAGAATGGCAACAGAGATATGTGCTTTACAGAAGATTTACAGCAGAGATTTACATATTGGCGTTACAGTTACGTGTTTGAATTTACAAGGTGTTGTATAGGTGGGAGAGGGAGTTGTGGGGGGGGGGGGGGGGCGTGGGGCTTTTCACCAATAGTTGCTGGGTTCAATATGGTTGACGTATAAATGATGTAGATGGGGCGGGGGTGGTGGTGAGCGTAACTAAATTAACGAGAGAACGAGTGTTGATGGTGCAACAGCACAATATAAAATAGGGTAGATTGGCATAGACCCTGGTGGAGGGGGGGGGGGGGGCGACGACACACATTGTTTTGGTTTTCTTATTATACTATAATTCAACAGAACACCCCTTGAAATATGCGTGTACAGTGTACGAAGTAAAACGACTAGGGCCCCTACGTATGTGTCCATGTCACAAGACGGGTGGTTAAGAGAGTTCTGTCGACAGAGCTAAAAGTCGCCGTAAATTCTCAGACAGAAACTCCGTGTTGTAACCCGACCCCCACCAGCCCTCAGCCACGAGTCTAGTACAGTACCAGATCGGTTTCTCCATGTTCTTGCACAGTGCTCGGAAATTAATTTTTTTTTTACTGAGTAAAGAGTGATCTTATGAAAATATTTATCCCACTGGAGCCGCAATGAATCTGATATTTCATTTCGCATGCAGTGATATGTTGTAGGCTACTTGTTACTTTAAAACAAGTTTACATTAGGTACATGTTTTGTTTCTTTTTTTTTTTCAAGCTTGTTTTTTATTTCATTTTTATTTTTTATTTTTAACAAGTCATTCTTTATTATAAAAGAGACTATTGGTCATTCAAAAAGCCATGTCTGGTCATTTCAGGAGCCACGCTTGGTCATTTAAACATTTAAAGATGAACGTCTGGTCATTTAAAGAGCCACATGCGGCCGTGGAGCCACAGGTCGCCAATCCCAATGCTAGAAAGATAATTACGTCCACATCTAGATTACGCACTCGATTACCCATCAGTATTCCATGTCATGATGACTTGCAAAGGCTCGCACACCGATAATCTTTTGCCATATAAAATCCTTAACATTTGGTTCTCGGGCTAGGAAACAGCGTACGCTGCAAATTTTTTAAAATCGTTTTAAAAGATAATAAAGATCACCTGCTGAGCATAAAGAGTGAATTAAGAATGGAGGAAAAAAATATCTTATGACATGTTTAACACGTCTGGGGTTTGTTGAAGTAATACAAAAAGCCACTTGCGATTTTTTTTTAAAGTGAAGAAGCGGGCTCGTGATCAGTCAACCGTGTCATCAAAGGACATCAGGAGTGGCCAATCAAAACCTGCGTCACAAACACGCTTATCACTTTATCTATGCGCTCGGTTTGACAGAATCTATGGCCGAGCTAGAGAGAAAGGGGCAGAGGGTGGGGGGGGGGGGGGGTTATAGAATGGGGGGGGGGGGGGGGTAGAGAGAAGATGACACAGTGGTGGTAAACTTGTGTGGAGTTCGTGTATGGTGTAGAGGTGTGGGGTATGGGGGTGCGTGAGGTGGGGGTGTGGGGACAGGCGTGTTGGGCGTGCTAGATACTGGACCATATAAGTCATTAACAACAGCTGTTCTATTGACAGTGAGGCAAATGTAACTTTCATACAGGAGAGGGTTTTTTTTTTACTAAACAGTTGTTGTATAAAAATGGTAAAAGTATTCAAGTTGTTGTTGAGTGTTATGAATGTGCATGGAAGTGTAATGTACACACTCCAATACGTGAGTGTAAACATTCAGTTGCATAATGTTTAGTGTACACAATGAATTACATGGCGCCCAGTGTACACACTTAATTACAATGACATCTAGTGTACATACGCCATTACATGACTTCTGGTGTACCCTACACACTCCATTACATGACGTCTAGTGTACCCTTCACACTCCATTACATGACGTCTAGTGTACCCTACATACTCCATTACATGACGTCTAGTGTACCCTTCACACCCCATTACATGACGTCTAGTGTACACACGCCATTACATAACTTCTGGTGTACCATACACACTCCATTACCTGAGTGTAGTGTACACACTCCATTACATGACGTCTAGTGTACACAGCACACTACATGCATCGTTCACTGCACATTTAGTTAAAACGCGGCACCTTTTGTAAAACGAACCAGCAGGGTTCAGGGGCGGATAAAAGTCACCAAGTGCGATTCACACGGGAGACAACTGTGAAACATGATAATTATCTTCTCCTATTTCCTCGCTTGACATTTGGCGTTCATAATAACCCCACACGATTGCTCATTGTATAACACACACGATAGTTCGTGGTATAAAAAAAACAGCAAGAGCACCATCATGGAAACACAAGTTTAAGTCTGTATTTTATCGTTAGATTATGTACAGCCGCCTAAGTGTATGGACGTCTGTGATTGGACGTCCTTGTTAAGTCACATCTGACTTATAACAAGGCTCTCCATTTTATATGAGCACAGGAGCAAATGGCAACCGGAATCTTCTAATCTGTCGAATTTTTTGTGTTTTTGTAATACATTCACATAAATGGGATGGAGCAGCCTAGCGGTAGAGAGCTAGACTGTTAACCTATAAGTCTCGAGTTCAAATCCGGGTTCAAGTGAGTAGACCGTCCCTGAGTCCACCCAACTCTGATGGGTACCTATCACACGTTAGGGAAAATAAAGGCGGCAGGGCATAGTGCTGACCACACTATCCTTTCATATTCTGAGATCACAGAAACAGTTGAACTCTACTACACTTGCCTAATAGGCCGTCAAGTTTGGGAAAGGGAACTTTACTTACTTATATTAACATAAAGAGCAAATCATGTAAAAAGTAGGGAAAAAACTGAGTACCACGAGGTTCGTGTAAAAAAAAAATGAAGTACAGAACACTGATGTTTAATAAAAAACAGTCAGAGACGGAGCCAGGTCTTGGTGAAGGAGTAACAAGTCACGATGAAAATTCCTCCTTAGACTTTTTTTTTTACTTCCCATTTTGAAAAATTAATTTAACTAAGGTAGACAACTTTGACGAAAGTTCACTAGCATTTGTACAAATAGTTTAAAAACAGAATAAACCATAAATTATTGTTTATTATTAATTAAATATTTTTATTAATACATTTGATACGACAATGTGTTAACAATTTTCTTTTCTTAAAATAATGAATTTTATTTTTTTACTCCATTTTAAACACACAAAGAATAATTATTACAAGTATTACATTTTTACATGTTGGACCTGCGAGTTTTGTATATATTCACTCTACGCATGCAATTTTTGTAAATAATTATCTCGTTGAGACGTTAAATACAATATCTAAACATAAAACAAGTTAATAAAAAGTCTAGTGACAATTTAAGCGCAATTTCCTTATGTTATCCATAACAATTTTAAATTGAGATAAATCATATATTCGGCAAATAAATAATGCAACACAAGTAGTTTTAATAATTCAAAACAAAATAGAAAAAAATATTTATTAACGAGATTGAAAAAAAATAATTCTTTATAGTTATTTAAATAGTAGTCTATAATTTATTTTCTACTTTTTAGTGCATTATTACATAAAAGCTTGTTCATTAAAAACGAGTTTCAGCGGCTTTTCCACACGAAGTTTGTCCATCATATCTTGACATTTCTTTGTTCCTGGTGTCGAAGGCTTGATTGTGAAAGTGCCGAGGATGAAGAGACCTTGAAGAGATGTGGCTCGCGACAGTCCGACATATTGAAGTTGACGGGTCAAGTCTTTCATGCTCACAACAACTGATTCCATCGATGCTCCTTGAGACTTGTGAATCGTTATCGCTTCCGCCAACACAACTGGAAATTGTTCGCGTGTCACTGTGAGGCCTTTAAGGACATTGAAGGTTCCTTTCAGCAAATTGATTGGCGTCCAAGTAGAAGGAATGGGACGGGTGACTGAAGGATTATCGGTTGGAAGGTGAACTCTTCCACGCTTTGATCTTGCAGTTGCACCGACTTCCGGGTTGGCAAATTCGAACCAAATGGTTTTCAGGTGATGGTCTTTGATTTCGAGGTGGCGAAGAACACCCGTTGCACCATTGAACAAGCCATCTTGCGTATCAA